ATGACTATAGCCCACCACAGACACCCTCCCTGCTCCACATGTGTGCACACACCCTCACCCTCTCCTCTCTCCTCTCTCTCTCTCTCTCTCTCCTCTCTCTCCTCTTGTCTGTGCTGTCTGCCTGACTCAGGCACTCAATCTGCCGATGCGTGATTGTGTGTGGGCTGCTCCGAGGGGGCCCTCTGTGCGATCCGACGGGTAGGGGGGCTGTGCCCGGGCGGTGTCCGGTGTGGAGTCCCCTTCTGATCCCGCCTGGGATGTTGGGTGTGAGGTTGTGGCGGCTTCGATCCCAAGGGGGGGAGCTGATCCCACTCATAACCAACTCTCAGGGGCAGTAGGTGGGCGAGCCTCGAGCGCGCTCATCTCGATCGACAAGGCGTCGCTACGCGCGGTCTTCCGCGGGGGGAGCTGCGTCGACGGGTGCGGGACCGCGGCGCAGCCAGTGCCGTGGCGAGGCCTCCGGCTGTTTGCGGCGGGCGGCTTGCTGCTCGCTGCGATGGCGAAAAACTCGTCTCGCCACACGCCAAGGGCTTATGCTCTGGCGAGACGTGAGGCGCATGCGCCCAGGAGGGGAGGGGGCATGTGTAACGACACTGCTAGAGATGCCTTTCGGGGCCCAGAGATAAAACTTCTGTGATGCCATGCGTGACCTAGTAGTGTCCCCAGCTATGGGCGTGTCCACGTTGGAGCCAGGTGTGGTGTGGGCGCGAGAATAGCTCCGCCGTTCATGGAGGCAACCGATGCGAGTCGACTGGTGTGTGTCGTCGTGGTTTCGTATCAAGAATTCTCTCTCTCTCTGTCCCTCGTTTTCAAGCCCGGACTGCACCAGCGCGGTGTCGGAGGATGTTTTCTCATGTTTTCGGCGGGCGCTTTCTGCTCCCCCCTGCGCAACGACACCACACACATGCCGTCAGCTGTCGTGCAGGCCGTGATCTCGGAGCTCTCGGGGCCCGCGATGGTGACGGCCGGATGGACGCTGCTCGGGATGAACTTCATGCCAATGGGCCCGACGGCGGGCATGGTAGGAGCGTGCGAGCCGCAGAAGACGTGGGGCAACCGCACCTTTTTGAACATGATGGAGCATGCCCCGCTCTTCCTGTCGTCGTTGTGGGTGTTCGCAATCTTCGTCTCCGCTGAGGAGGCGACGAAGATCGGCACGACCTACATCGCCCTCCGCAGCCTCTACCCGGTCATCTGGGCGGCCTTTGGTGGGGCAAACGGCGCGCCGATGCAGCCCTACACGTGGTTCCTCTTTGGCAAGGGAATGAATCTCTTCTACGTCACGTTTCCCCAGTACGGCTGCGTCTTCTACATGGCCTTGGCGACCCTGCTCAAGCTCGGCTTGGCCATCGACCTCAACTCCATTGTGGGTGTCCCCGCGCTGGCCGCGCCGCTCGGCTTCGGCCTCTTCCTCTACCACTTCGCACTCGGAGGCTTTCCATACCTGCAGAAGGCGGTCGCGCCGCTGTTTGGCAAGTGAGCGATGAGGTGGGGTGCGCATGTGCGAAGACCGAAGTTGGCCGATGGCCACGAATGTGTGGATTCGCGTGGCGGGGGCGGGGGCGCGCGGGGGGGGGGGGGGGGGGGCCCCGCGGTTCCAAAACCCCACCCTTTTTTCCTCACCAGGGGGAGGGCCCCCCCCGGGGGCTGGGAAAAAGGCTGGGCTTAAAAAGGGGGACGGGTTGCCCGTTACACCCCTACACACACCTGGGGGGGGACGGGTTTTTTCCTACCCAGGGGAACACACCGAAAACGAATTTCCCCCCCCCTCCAGTCCCAAAAGGGACGGGGGATTATTCCC